TTTGAATAGAAATTCAGAAGTACCTTTTCAGATTCTTCTTAAGGAAAATCATCATGTCAACATGTTTCCAACTCAGGTTGGCCCTTTGTGCAGTCACAATATCACCAGCAGTTCAAAATACCCTCTCAGGGTCCATGCAGGTAGCCAAGGTACTGTAAGTCCCCATTGTCCCTAGTATGGTGATCGACCTTCAGTTGTTGGCGATCTATAGCCTGTTTTTATCTTGTATTGTCCTAATAGTGCTATTAGTTTTAACCTTCCACACTAGTTTTAAATCTAATTGTGATATTCTAGTTGTTTTACTGCCCTTCGTTGGCAGGTGTTTTATATTATACACATATTACATTTCAATATCAAATGTTCTCGTCACGATATGGCTGAAATATTGCCGATGTGACGTTAAATAATAACTCACTCACTCACTCACTGAAAATACCCTCTCGGAAGGACCAGAAGTTGCAGGGATACAGAGCAAGGACTTGCAAAATTGTGACAACACTGGGTAGTCCTGCTGGTGACATTTCCACCACACCAAAAGATTTAAATCCACATTCAGAGGAATCTCTTTCCTGTATTTATCAATTTCCTCCTGTGCACAAACCAATGAGGATTTGCTGGCCCCCTCAGTGCCCCCATCCCCTGGACCGGGTTCCACCTTAACAACATACACATCACCAAACAGAGCCGAGAGAGAGGTTGAAGCACATCACTATCATCTGGCTCTTTCTTTATGCCACAGACAGCAGCAGGAGTATCAAGTACAGGTGTATCCATCTCGATTCCAGGAACTGTCGGTGGTACTGGTAGATCAGGGAGGGCAGTATCATACGTGGGCTCATCCTTCGCATCAACCAGTTCCTGAAAAAATACAGATTACAAAAACTGATAATTCAAGAAGTCAAAAAACCTGAATAAAGGTTGAATTTCTAATAATTGAATTCAGGTTAGAACCTTTTCAAACTGAACATTTGAAATTACATTTTATAAAATTTAGAATTGAAATTTGAGATTAACAATTTAACATATTTTTAATCAAGTTGATAACTTTTGAAATTTGACGGTGTGGCACAAATCATCTATATTTGAGATTTAATTTGTGAAATAGTATGTGGACATACCAGGTGACGTCTGTCACAATATTCTGCAACACATGTAGCCAGTTCAGCAAACACTGTTGCTTTCTGGTCTTCTTTCAAGAATGGAAGAGTCTTGAACCTAGGATTCATCGCAGGAGACAGAAGAAGGACCTGCTGCACTTCTGGTTTGGTATATCGCTTGTTTAAATCTACCTCAATTGCATGCTTTACATCTTCGACAAGAGGAGAATCGTCATCCTTGGGGGGCATCTGGGTTTTTATGAGATACAGCATGGGAGCAACAATGGAAATTGTAGGCACTTTTTCATCACACACTACCTCTGTTGCTCTCGTCAGGGGTCCCAAAAGTTCAAGAAGTAGTTCCAAATCTCTGACATCACTTTCAGTGAGTGTACTTATGTCACTCTCTTTCCTCTGGATATCTTTGGAAACTAATGTGGCATATATTGCTGGCTGAAGCTGGAGATAACTCAGTATCATATCGAAAGTGCTGTTCCATCTGGTGGGCACATCAAATTTTAGCTTTATCTTTGGCAAATCAAGACGATCCTGGTTTGTTGACAGGAGGGCCAAAGCCACAGTGCTTCGGTGGAAGAAACCAACAAGTTTCCCCACTCTTGACAATAAAGTACTCACTTTTGGAACTTTCAAGCCACGTTGAGTGGCCAGCTTCAGCGTATGTGCAAAGCAATAGACGTGTGGCCTTAATTCTGCAACTTCAGCAGCAACACCCATATTATCAGTAACCAAAGCTGCCGCGTGTTCAGCAAGGCGAGTTCTCGTTCACCGCCAGTGCGCGTACGCGATTGCCGTTCCTGAACGGAAGCGTGTACTCGCCTGCGTGGCAGCACTGTTTTCAAAATGGCGGCGAATATGGATAATGCGAATATTGTACATCTTGCGTTGAGCGAACTAACGAGAATAGTGCCTCATGCTGACTTTTCCTACCTGGATGATGAGAATATGCTGATTACTGCATATGAAGAAATATGCATGCAACGCACTGAACCACTGGGGACTGTCCGAATCGAGAAGTACGTGGAAGAAGTTGTGCCACGTTACAGTGACCCTTTATTCAGGGCACATTTCCGAATGACTAGGACTTCATTGCAGGTATGGTATTTTGGAGTTATTGCTGAATGGTGCATAAATGATTAAAAATGAAGGAACCTTTACCAAACTTGTAATATTATTGCTATTTGGTTTTCCCAAACGGGGTGATCACATAGCAACGTAGTCAGTAGTTCTAATTCCTCGCATGACCAAGCAAAATAAAACTAGTTTGCGTTTAGTGATAGTTCATTTGAAAAAAGTATTGGCCCATTGTCAGATCATTTATACAGAAATATATACAAAAGGAAAGGGGGTCTGTCATGTATAGGTAAGCCCATAATCTTATCTTCAATTAGTCTCTGCTATTGTTATAAGGTAAAAATTCATCCCCAAAACCATGAGAGAATTATATCAGATTCGTATTTAGATTTGCAGTTTGTTCATGAGTCATAGCGGTTAGGCACGGTATGGAGACGGAAAGTTTCCATAGAATGGCGTTTAGCCGTAGGCTATGGAAAGAGAGACAGAACACATTTGTTGTGAAAGACATAACAGATTAATCTTATATTGAAACAAACAATAAAGGGATGAGTAACCGAATGATTTTTACCAGTACTTTTCCAATCGTAATATTCATGAGTGCAAGGTCGAATACAGGCTAACCGAATCAAAATGATTAGTTGAAACATGTGATCAAGATCAGGCCAGGCTCGAACCATATAAAAAGATAGGTTGGGCACTGAGCGAGTGGTGCACGCTTTTTAGTGACGGAAGCCAGTCCACGCCACTCAGTTGCCTCGTGTGGCACGAACCTGCCTTGTCTGATGTTGAAGTTGTAGAGATGGACTGAGACTGAGTAAAAACTATGAGAGTATACACTTGTGTTGCGTTTTTCTTTGAATGTATGTGTGCCAGTACATGACTGTTATGTGGTTAATTAGGAGTCACGGTCGTCAGAACCCTCACTCCTTGACCTAGCGTCCTGCAACGGACCAAGCGAGTGGAGCGCCAGAGCTACCATCTCCCCGACAATGTGGAATGACCGTAATTAATAGGCAACTGGGGTAGGGTTTATTAACACCCAATCGCCAGTTACGACACTATCCACATACAACTTGTTTTAATTACTTTACAGTCCCTGTTGGAGATGATTGGTCCTCACACAGACTGTCGAACAACAAGCCTGGAGACCCGCACATTAGCCTGTTTGTGGTACCTTAGTAACCAGGAAACTTTTCGAAGTGTGGTAGATAGATTTGGGATGAGCAAAGGTTCTTTGCATTATTTTCTTGGCAATTTTTGTAGAACCATGACAAGTACACAAATTATGACACAATTAATAAAATGGCCAAAGGACACAGATTATCGAAAAAATGCTGATGCAGCATCTGTACGAGCTGGGTTTCCAGGTGTAATTGGCATGCTGGATGGATCTTACATACCAATTCCAGGACCCAGCTTCTTCAGAGATTCCTACATATGCAGGAAAGGTTTCCCAGCAATGCACCTGCAGGGTGTGTGTGACAGCAGCTTGAAGTTCATTGATGTCTATTGTGCATATCCTGGATCAGCACACGATTCAAGGGTCTACCGGAACAGCCCGCTGTGTCAGTACTTAGAAGATAATCCGTTACCGGAAATGTACCACCTACTTGGTGATTCTGCTTATGCTCTGTCCAAGTCCCTGCTTGTCCCATTCAGAGACAATGGACATCTGACAGCAATTGAGAAAACATTCAACAATGCACACAGTTCAACGCGTGTGGACATTGAAAGATGCTTTGGACTTTTGAAAGGGAAGTTCAGAAAACTCAAATACTTGGACATGAAAAATGTTCGGGAAATGCCTGAAGTCATTATCACATGCTGCGTTTTGCACAATTTTATTTTGACCCAGGAATCCTTTGACGAAAGTGACATTGATACTGAAGACATTGATGCAGTAGAAACTGAAGCACAATCAGAAAGGGATCCTCAAGAACTTAAATCTGTATCTGAAAAGAGAATGGAAATTGCCCATCTCTTGGTGTAAAGATATATAGGTTTCTTTCACATCGTCAAAGTTTTTCAGGACTGAGTTTTGGTTTTTACGCCGCTTATAGCAATATTCCAGCAACATCGCGGCGGGGGACACCAGAAGGTTTCACACATTGTACCCATGTGGGGATTCGAACCCGGGTCTTCGGCGTGACGAGACAACGCTTTAACCACTAGGCTACCCCACCGCCCCAAGTTTTTCAGGACTGACTGAGTTTAGTTTTACGCCGCTTTTAGCAATATTCCAGCAATATCATGGCGGGGGACACCAGAAATGGGCTTAACACATTGTACCCATGTGGGGATTCGAACCCGGGTCTTCGGCGTGACGAGACAACGCTTTAACCACTAGGCTACCCCACCGCCCCAAGTTTTTCAGGAAATAATTAGGAAATATAATCAATGTCTCATGTAATGTATATATTTGACTGAGTGAGAGTGATGTATGTGTTAATATTGTAACCATAACTGTATTTTAGTGTCTCATAGGCCAAAATGGACATATCTTTTTGTACATTCCAATAATATGATAAATGTTCTTTTATGTACAAATGCATGACATGTAAATAAATCAATCTTCTCTTGTTACTACCAGCCATGTTCCATGCCATACAAATAAAGTTCTTATTCTGAAATCAATTGTTTCCATCCAATTAAATATTTACATAAAATGGCTTCTTGATGATATGATCTAATCGCTATCACGTGACTCGTGCACACACGTCTATGTTGTAATGCAAACAAAACACATGGATAAAACAGTCTTTTTTAATATGTACACATTAAGTTTAATAGACATACATTGGGCACAACTTTGAAAGAGGAAAGTAGATATATGTAACATGATATGTTACAAGCATCCCATAGAGTCTGCATAGTCAGGATTGGATATGCTAATAATGAATGAAAATGCATGAAAGTGGAAAGTACATATATGTAATATATGTTACAAACATGGGCTCGGTTATCACAACATGTTGGTGTCAGGATCAGCATTTGAAAATTTCAACCTCAAGTTATCAGTCATTATACTCTGGATTTTAAAATGATTTTAATACAGAAACACATATTACCTGTCTTTGGTACCCACATTCTGTAAATTCAGAATAGCATTGAACAATCTGAAGGTAAATGCAGGAAGGAAGGAGAAACAACAGTACGACTATAACATCTGCTGTGAACACTGCATGGATCTCGACACCTAAGATGAAGTGCACATAATATTTTCCTGTCTACATTATTCTACTCTCTGAATGAAATATTTACCATTGTTAAACACTGTCATGCCAAACAAATGTTTATATACTGAGTGGCAGGTGGGCTCGATTCCGGCACCTTGAGCTGGCTGGATCACTAGCCTGACGCGATAGACACCTCACCCACCGCGCCCCCAACGCACATTGATTTCTGAATTTATGACAGGTATAATAATAGTAGTAGTAACACAACTCAAGATTACCTGACAAGGGTTCCCATTTGGCATTTCTTGTGTATGGAGTAAATACTCAACAGTATAAAATAAGGTCTGATGTGGCAAATATATAACATGTTATGTTATATGCGCTTGGAAAGTGCAGCAAGAGGTATTAACAAATGAGTTACAAAGTTTTCAAACAAACATCGATCAAAGGATTAACCAATAACGCTGATTGATTAATTACTTTTACCTTGCACACTGGATCTGTGAGAAGGTAGTGTTAAAATGTATGCAGATTTACTAATCTATACTAAATACACTCTGTATTAGACACGACATGGAACAAGATTTTTTGTCAGCTGCTGAATGGCATATCATTCCCTTATGTTCAAAAGCAGATACATACCTCGAACAAGGTAATTGCCTAAAATTGTTGCTATAACTTTAGTCTGTATACATTATGTCAGAAATATTTGTGATGAAAAAGGTCATCTCAGTTTTGAAGACCTAAAAAAGCGGTACAAAATAGAAATAATTCAAATGGATCTTATGGAAACAAATTTGGAAATTGTATATTTATATACTTATCCTATCTCACGACTTGCACCTCTCTCTTCATTCGACCATGAGTGGAAATTAATTAAACTTTGCTCCAGGCCGACCTTTTCCCTGTTCCCTGTCCCCTGTCCCCGTGCTGTGCATGCCTTCCTGCCTTCGCCATGCTCACTAGGCCGTGGCAGCACGTTGCATGTGCAGTCCTCACCCACATGATCACCTTACATACTCATTCTCGATCTTGGAGCCATAAAAGGACAAAAGAGTCGTGCACTTCACTGAATCTTGTCCCAACTCTCTTGGGGCACAAACATCATGACCTGTCGTGTTGAATATTGTCCCAATATTGTGCTCACTAGCTCTAGACTGACTAGACGGGATATCCTGATTCACCTGAGGTGAAGGAGACCGACCACAAAAATCACTCTGACAAAAAGACACCGCACAGCTAAGGCAGGAAGGCATGCACAGCACGGGTACAGGGACAAGGTCGGCCTGGAGCAAAGTTTTATTCGTTTCCACTCATGGTCGAATGAAGAGAGAGAGAGGTGCAAGTCGTGAGATAGGATAAGTATATAAATATATAATTTACTTTCTTGGAATTTACTATAGCATCTACTAATTTCTGAAGAGTTTCCAGTCTTTTTTCCTCAATTGCTAATCTTTTCTTCTCCAACTCCATTCTCTCTTCATGCTGTTTCTTCTGTTGTTCTCTCATTTCCGATAGATCCGCCAGTGAGGCTGTGCCTCTCTTAGATACAGGAGTTTTAGGTGTTGTCTTGGCAGGGGCCTTCTTGCTGTTGGATGTATTAGGAGAATCATAACGCATTACACAGTCGCTTCTTTCCCTCTCTGGACTATTTGGGGCCCTGGTTAGATTTTTCGGATTCTGAAGGCTACTGACTTCAGCAAGGGGTTCAACTGCTGGATCCCCAGCATACATCTCATCCATGAGACTGAAGAATTTCCATGTTGACCTGCCCCTGCCAGTCTTGTTATTACGGTCCTTTATTGTTTTGTATCTGCAAAGAGAAAAGGAACCCTGACTGCAATAATCAGTCAAAAACCACCTTTTAAAATCAAGTTTCCTGATAACTGCAGGCACAATTGGGGCGCGGTGGGTGAGGTGTCTATCGCGTCAGGCTAGTGATCCAGCCAGCTCAAGGTGCCGGAATCGAGCCCACCTGCCACTCAGTATATAAACCTTAGAGTCATTTTTGTGTGAAGACTCTTTCAGTGTTGTCGCAACCCCTAGTGTACAGCACACAACCCTGTGCACTTTACACATGGTGGCCACATGAAAACGTGCAAACACCTAGTTGCGGGTACAGCAACGTGCATTAAACTTAGACAAAGTACTGTTTCCCCTCTCTTTTGTGATGAACTACAAATCGTTTCCATGGAAATCAGAACAACAGCAACATAGCTGTTGCCTGTAATGCTCTGGAAACTGGTGTTACCTATACCCCCCACATTATATGCCATTGGGATGAAAACAGGAATGAACGAATGAACAGTTGTGAAAATAGGAACAGAACACCATTTCTTGTTTGAACCGAGTACGAGTGAATCATAATACCTTAGCCTCAAGGAACCGAATTTCCTCTGGCATTCATCCCCAGAGTAGCAGTAACCTTTCTCAGTCATTTCGTCGGCTACTTTCTTCCAAGCCTGCTTCTGGGTGACGATGCTGCTAGTAAACAAATGCTCATACTGCTGCCGCAGAGTAATGAGCAGGCGGACTTGACATTCAGTCCAGTTTATTCTCACTAAAAAAAGTAAAGATACCCATTTGGAAATGATACATGTAAATTTCCAACAAAAATGAATATTTCAAAGTTAAAAGAAATGATAACAAGTGTTTGCCAATATTGTGGCAATGTGCCCCACCGCTAAAAAATAAATATTTATCACATGTTTACTACTTTTTATATTTTGTGTCTGCGTATTCCCCAATTTGAAGACATTGGGTGTAACGTCGAGGTAGAGAATATGATTGGTTGGCTTGCTCGGGTCGTAGCCCTTCGCGTATTGATTATTTGCTTTCGTGTAACAGATCATGAGATATCGTGTTAACAAGAAACGGGAAGTACGTACGGACATACGTTGCTGAATACTTAGTCCCAATGTTCAGTGTTGCGATAGATAGATAATTACCAGACTCAGTGAGAATTACCGGAACTTTACCTAATATTTAGCTCTAAAAACCATTTATTAAGTAAACATTTGCATTAAATTACCTTGTGACTGATGACTCTGGCTTGACCAACTGGAGTGAGTGGTCATTGAAAATACTGAATCTGTAACGAAATTAGTTCTATAATATTCTGTTACAGCTAGGCATTCAGACTTAAGATTCCCAAGTATAATACACATATGAACTTACAATTTTAGGTTGAACAGTTCACAAAGGAAAATGCTTTTTAACATTTAGGCTTTATGCAAACTGCTCTGAATTAGTTCCTTTAATCAAAATTTACTCCCAAATGAATAAAATGAAAGAAGACTATGAATAAATATTGTTAACAGAAGAAAATGCTTGGTACGTGCCTATGTCATCTTGTGTGTCCAGTTCCATGTCATCTCCCAGTGTGTCACATCTATTTCTGTCACTGGCACCAGCGCTACTTGTACTGGCTTTGGGTTCAACACTGAATTCACTATTATGATCTGCAATACATAAACTGGGTCAAATTCAAGAGTGTGACCATATATATAATACAGGGCTTCTAAAGGTTTTGAGCAGATGCAAATAATGAAAGCAATCTTTAGTGGTATTATAGTTTTTGCCACATCCAAATTAAAATGATACTCAAAGGTAAAACAATTGTTGGGATTGACAGTTACCTTGTTTATTCAATCATATAAATGTAATATTTAATGCTTACCATCTGGTACTGATGCTACCAATTGTTCCAGGAACCTAACTCTTTCTTGTGCCGTGAGATCTTTTGGTGCTAACCGCCCAAGGCGACATAACATTTCATCCGGCACATCTTTCACATATGCAGATGCAGACACATCATCAAAGTGAGTCGGTCTTGTTATATTCATGCTGATACTGACCCCACTGTTTTTACAAGCAGCGGAGACAGTATTCAACAATCCAAATTCCGAAGCTAATTCAAAGGATTCAGCAACACCTTTAATGAAAAAATAAAAGCTCTATACAATATCTATTCTTCAAATATAATGACTATAATATTTGAAAATGGGATAATGAAAATAAGGCAAATATTATGGAACATTTACAATAAGAATAATTTTTCCAGCAATAAGTCAATGAACATATTTAAATTGTTACTCATGTAAAATCGCCACTTTTTGTTATCTCACAAAAATACCTTTACCTTTAAAACTGAAAGTAAAAGGAAATAAGGATTACCGGTAATAACTTTCCTCCCAAACCTGCACCTAACAAAAAGTAAAATTTTTTAGTATGTCATACAGCATGTACAGTCAAATCTATAACTATTACAGCAAGTTTGACAAGTACCATTATGAGATACATTACTTCATTCATTACATTAAAATGAAAGTGACTAATTACTTTATTATATATATATATTGAAAATAGCTGTATCCAAACACTATATACATAGGTTTATACATACATGTGTATACTTTATAAAAGATGAGTAGAGAAGATAGTAAATATTAAGAGGCAAAGAAAACCACACCAGTAGAAAGACTTCAAGAATGTGCACCTCACATTATTGTACCAGTAAGCCATCCAATGGATAAGCCATAAGCGTGTGCAATTTATTAAACATGATAAGAAGGTGATGAATTGTGACAAATGTATTAAGAGGACTGTGCTAAGGGGAACACATAAGACAATGATAGGAAACATAGGATAGTAAAAGCAACAAGAGTCTTCAGAAAATCATTACGGACAGACGGACAGGGCGTTGACTATATCCCCCTAGGGGGATAATTAAGAAACTAATACTACTACCCACAACAGCATGTAATACAGACATGATTAAGCAAGATTAAAGCAAGATTAATTCTTTGCAAAGGGATTTGCTGTAGCTATTGTGAACATGCTGGAAACAGAAAAGATAATATTACCAGTGGCTCCTAGATGAAAAAAACCACATGTTTATTAGTAAAGAAACATATTCAAAAGTGAACAGTTAAAACATTCCTGTGAAAGATACATATATAATTACTCATTTCTGAAATATTTTAATTGAAAAGACTGCCCATATTAATTTTAAGTAAATATTCTTAAGCCATAAGAATTCTTAAGTCTACTAATTCTTAGTTTCCATAGCAACGTATCTAAAACTAAGATTTTTGCTTAAGCAATATTCATCAAACCTCTTAGTGCTTCAGATTTTGTCTTAACTTAAGAATCCTCCATAGGTTACTTAAGCACTAAGAATTTTCTTAAAGTAAACAAAGATGGCCGCCAATGCATTCATCGACAGAACCAACATTTTAGAAAAAAACAACAGAAACCGAGTTGACACGAATATTTAGATTATCCAAAAGTGGTATACAATTTTTATGAAGTCTCATTTCAAATGAAATTTCACCTGTGACTCGAAGAAGTAATCCTTTATCAGCTACTGACAAAGTTCTAATCATGCTGCGTTACTTTGCCACAGGCAAAATGCAGCTATGTAATGCGGACAACATTGGTGTTTCACGGTCTTCAGTGAGTAGGGCCGTTAACCAAACAATAACTGCACTGTCTGCCCCTGCCATTGTTTGCCAGTTGGTTTCATTTCCAACCAGTCCGACTGAAATCCGACGAAACCAACTTGGTTTCTATGGCATCGCTAATTTTTCCGGAGTGGTTGGGGTTATAGATGGCACCATCTCAGCACGAACCTATTTATGTGAACAGGAAGCAGTACCACAGCATCAATACTCAGGTTGTCTTTGACCACAGATGACATATCATTGATGTTGTTGCGAAATGGCCCGGTTCCACTCATGACTCGCGCATGCTGAACCAGAGCGGTGTTTGTGCTTTGCCATGCGTTTCTCACTTAGAATTTTTAAAATTCTCAGCTAAGATTTCTGCTTAGTCGCATGGTGGATTGATACTTAAGATAAATTCTCAGCTAAGAATTCTTAGGAAACTAAGAAAATTCTTAGAAGTTTAGTGAATCCAGACTCAGGTTTCCATGTAACTGATACATTAAGATGTTATGTACTGTGGTGTACTCTCTCACTTACTAAGATTTCTGTGGCCTGAAGAGTCCACTTTGTACTTCTCCTCCATTCGTATAAACATCTCAGTTGCCAACTGTGTGTCTGCAGATAAAAACATATACAAAATCATTTACGACTCAACAAAACTCACTAGAAAGTAACTAATATGCCCCAAAGATTTATGAAAAGTTTGGCTCATGAAACAAGTGGAATCTAAAAATGTACTGTCTAGTTCAGATGGCTGTAGGTGAATTCGTAGACTAGACTGGTTCGTAGACGTGGAAATCCGGTGGATTCGTAGGCGGATTGAGCGGTGGGTTCATAGACGTTAGTAAAATGGGGAACTTCAAAATAACTGATGAAGAAAATCGACATTATGACTTTAATGTAAACGAAAAGTATTTGCATTTTGTGAAATAAATAAAATATATTAGGTAACACTTATGGTATAGAAACCTCAAAAAGGTGAAAAAAAATAATCATTCAGCATCAACCATGGCTCTATGCGTTGTATGTGTGAAAGACGTTAAACAAATACATTTATACAAATACATTTACACAAATAAACAAGTGTGGACAAGAAACAGGAAAATATTTGTTCACTCGTTCAGATACTCCCGCCAATATTGCAACAATATGCAGTCATTGGACATGAGTATTCGTCACTGTGCATAATTTCCATAGACTTACATGTTAATTTTGTGAAGCTAGAAAAGTTACCTTGAAGTAATTTGTCGTTTGATCTTGTTCATATTTTGCACATGTGTCATGAATCATCTCAGCTCCAAAGACACAATTTCCGTTTTATTTTTCCATTCAGTATTTCAAGAATGACTGCACTTTGATTGATGCCATGTCATGGTTATGAGAATGTTTAACATGGCGGTCTATGGGGATAGAATGCACAATGTTGTATATGTATGTTGCTCATGTAATTACAATGCGGAAAATACTTAAAGGAACATTACATGGAAATTATGTATCTGTGACCAAGATGATTTCCTAACAACCTGCAAAATTATTACAGCTACACTAAAATAACAATGCAAGTCTATGAGAATTTAGCCGGCTGACGAATACCTATGTCCCATGACTGTACAGATAATCGATTTAGTCCAATGAAGCCCAATACTACAAAATGTGCAAGTATTCAATTAAAACGCTTCCTTACCGTAAGCTTACCTTGCACACATTTCTCCTGTACATCAGGGTGAACGTGAACCGTAAATACAACGGTTTTATCGGCATTAGTCATTTGCAGCGGTACAAGCTTCGCAATGCTGGACGCCATCTTGGATTGTTTGGCGCACTACCTCCTGAGGCAAATCGCGCGTACACGCGTGAACTCGTTTCAGCGGTGGTGTTCGGAAGCGAGGTCTCGCTAATATTCGCGTGTACTCGGCTTGCTGAACACGCCTCTGGGTCCTTGTCAGCAATGCCCCACTCTTCCACAGCATCCTTAAGCACTTTCCCAATATTCACTCCAGTATGACTTTCCTCAATGACCCTGGTCTGTAGAAAATGTGACACAATCTCCCAAACACTGGCGATATGTTGGCTTGTAATGGTAATGTATCAGTGGTGAGTGCTACCCTTTCACTTGTTTTCAAATAAGACAAAACTGAAGATTTGGTTTCCTCATACAGTTTGGGAAAGATAGTCTGAGACACAGTTTTGCTGTTTGGCACTTTGTATCGGGGATCTAAACCGTGAACAAAATTAATAAAACCCTCATTTTCCATACCAGGGGTGGTGGGGGGTGGGGGTGGTGGTTGCCTTTTCAAGTGTGTCGACATGTTTGTCGTGTTTCCTCGAAAAGTTGCTATCACATCACACACAGTACATGCCACTTGAGTTTTATTTCTCGATAGCAAAAAGTGCTCCCACACTTTGCTTTAAATCCTGCACCAGGCTTCAAAAACACCGCGTCGTCAGTGGCCATTTTCCCTGTGCGCATGCGAGAAGTGCCGAAATCTCGCGAGATTCAACGTCGCCTAGCAATCTGAAACATGGCGCTCCCCTGTTGTTTTCATCAGTCGCGAAATTCGCGATGATGTATGAATAAAACCAATTCAAATGTAGGTGACCTTTTAGCAAGTATATATCGTCGGTGAATCGATACACATGGATCGTATCGATATATTGCATCGTCTGATTTTAATATCACGATTATTCTAGTATCGATATATCGTCACAACTCTAATTCCAGCAGAACCCTGTTAGCATCATTCATTGTGATAAAGCCTAAACCTTCTGGTTTCTGAACTAGCCAGTACACAATATATATTCAGTTTTGGTTTAGAAGAAGCAAATTAAACATTGTTTGTTTGTCTCTTCATACTGGAGGCCGTATTTAGGGCACACTGAACTAAATCTGTAATCCTCTTTGTGCAAAGTTTCAATTTTAGTTAATCAAGAAACAGTTCCGAAGGTCTGCCTCAGAGCTGAAGTGGAAAGGTTTTCCTTCGATTTATCCCCAACAAATCTACTAAAGATGGGGTCATGATCATCTCAATCTACATTGAGTCTAGTATGGCTATTGAAAGAAAACGTGCCAGATAATAATTTAATCGGCCCCAAGCATTTAACATTTCTACAAGCATGTGCAAGAAAGTATTCAACATCACTTGAACCACTATCTCCTACTCATGTAAATACCCATTATAAATTTCAACTCCACCATTCATATAAACAGTCGACAAACATAGCATAAACAAGTAAAGTGCGTCTAAATCTATTAATATTTGTACACAGGCTGCTCAGCAGGGTCATTGTCTTCATCAATATATACGTCATTACCAAACTCTGCTCACAGACGGGATTGATTTCATTGCTCGTTCAAGTTTAAATCACCCAAAAATTAGCACATGAGAAGAAGTGAAGGCAGACCAATGGGTCAATATAAAGCATCAGGTTTATCAATAAGAAACACTGAATCAATGTGTCCGTTGTAAAATGTAGATCTAGCCTACTCGAGGAAGATACACTATCCCAAAAAAGAAACGCATAGGCATTTGTAGTTTTTTAACCAATAATTACCTATTGTGTTCAAGCAATCGTCAAAATGTGTAACAAAAGTGTTCATAACATGATGTTACACAATTGCACAAGTAAAAAGTCGACCTCACCTGAAAATGTTGATTTTGATGAGATTTCTTACAAGGATTGAAAACGCATCGCCACAACGCAACAAACATCTGGCTATAAAAATCCAGATTACTTTTGGAAATCGGCATTCGTTTTGAAGGAGTTCCAAGGTCAAATCACTACGCCTTGTCGTGACGCTGCGAAAAGGAAAAACGAAATTGAAAAGAATGCACGCTGGAGAGTACCAAGCTTCTGTTGCCAGGCGTCTGAATGTTAGGCTGAGCACGATATCATGGCTTGCAGCTCGTTACAACCAAACAGGTATAACAAATGACGGTCCACATACAGGCACACCTCGAGTCACCACTGCAGCCCAAGATCGGTACATCCGGGTACCACATTTGCGTGATGGTACTGTCACGGGTGAGAGCACAGCAGCCAGGCTGCGTGGACTTCGGATGATATCCGGTCAAACTGTACGGAACAGGCTTAGAAAGATTGGACTGAGAGCCAGGAGACCCGACGTCGGGACCGTGCTACGTCGTCACCATCGCCCTCAACGTCTTCGTCTAAAATTCATGCACTAAAGTCCATTTGTGGACGAGTTATACATATTTGAAAATACAACATTTTCGCAACAGATTTCCGGCCTATGCATTTCTATTTTGGGACAGTATATATACAAATAAAACACAGATCATTCGTAAAATAAAACACACTGTCAGCAAAAATCAGTTATAGAAGTCCACGTACATTTTAGAGACAAGTACGCCAGGGAAAAAAGTGTCCCCTCAATATCATGGGCGGAGCCAGAAATTCGAACTCCCTGAACCCCCCCATTGGCTCCGCCAACGCACAAAAAGTTCTTCAGTTCAGTGTGGTCTTGAGTCATTCTCAAAGGGGTAAACCCCATCCACCCCTCTGGATCCGACAATGAATATTTACATTGAATGACGGAAGAATCCAGAATTTTGATACACATGTGTTTGGTTGCACTTACGGTCGTCATGCTGGATATTATTCATTAATGGTTATTGTACAAATGTAAAATATAAGTTTCATCATGATCAGTAATGACTTAGGGAAAGTCACCAGTCTCAGGTAATAAACCTCACAGACTCACTATTCAAAAAGGATTGGAAGTTTAAATTAGTAACTCAGATTGTTAGTGGCTTTATCCTCAAAGGGGGTTGAAATACTGTAAACTTATTGTCCTCCCCAATAATTTAAACACTCCACTATGTGTAGATTTAATATATGGCTAGATTTGTCTCAGTTGCTAACGGCTGAAGGGATGATGTAAATCCAGCTAGGGCCCATGCAGGAAGCAAAGGTAATGTAAGTCCCCGTGTTCCTTTGTATGGTGATCTACCTTCAGTTGTTGGCAATCTATAGCCTGTTTTTATACTGTATTTTCATCTATAGTTAAACTGTCTTAGATTCAATTACTAGTTTTATATTCATATCTGTGATAATCTAGTTATTTTACTGTCCTTCGTTGACAGGTTTTTATAATTTACCAATAATTACTATGTATAACAAGTAATTGTTCCCGTCTTCACGATATGTACCCATGAAGGTCCTGGTTAGAATGAGCCTTCAGTAACCCATGCTTGTCGTAAGAGGCGACTAACGGGATCGGGTGGTCAGGCTCGCTGGCTTGGTTGACACATGTCATCGGTTCCCCCTTGCGCAGATCGATGCTCATGCTGTTGATCACTGGAATGTCTGGTCCAAATTCGATTATTTACAGACCGCCGCCATATAGCTGGAATATTGCTGAGGTGGCGTAGAACTAAACTCACATATTGTGAGATCGATGTGAACAAACATGTGTATGTTGCACTGAAACAGCGGAAATGAGTACACAGATACAGATGCTAGAGTGATTCAAACACATGTGTTTCTGTATCACGTCAGACAGATGGAGTCAAAATGTCAACCTATTAACCATCTGACTGACTTACTACCGTGTAAGCGTGAAAAGGTAGGTAGATAGGTAGGCAGGTTTATCTAGCAGGAGTACCGTACATCTCCTTTGACCCTTGTATGGTGGCCAAACTTTGGTTGCTGATGATCTCTAGACCCTTTTTATATTGTGTTTGTCTATTGTAAAGTAGACATAAAATGTTTTTGTGTCGTCACAATATGGATGAAATACTGTCGATGTGACGTAAATTTGTAACTCTCTCACTCATTCACTGATCCATTTCATTACATTTATTTATTGTATTGTTGTTGATAGTCATATTTTAGAGATAAGATACTAGTTTTAAATCTTTATCTGATATTCAGGTTGACAGGTTTTTATAGTTGAAATATAGCCGATGTGACTTAAAATATCAATGCACTCACACTCGCCTTACTACCGTTTAATTGCGTCTAACTACAAACTAGTGAGATTACTGGAACTAAGGAATTATCTGGAGTGGGAGAAAATTAAAGGGACAGAATAAAAACTGAACTTGGCTGTCTGGGGAATCTAATGTGCGTATGGTGTGCCATCACTGCAGGAGTTACCTCCTCTTCATGTTGCCCGGAAGCTATTAAGTCCTGGAGCTACTTTCGTATCAGTATACTTTATTTGACTGTGTTGATTTTTCCACCACAAGGGATAACTCTTTAAATGTACAAACAACGAAGGATCTTTTTAATCATGTTTTTCCTCATGTTATCCTTCGATTATTAAAAGAAATTGAATTAATTGATAGATTTTGATATTGTGTAGATAGTTGATTTTTAACATTGGTAGAGTTTAAGTTGCAATTTAGTTGGTCAGAGGCTGTATCCTCGAAGGGGGTTAAAGTATTGTAAAATTATTGTCCTCCTGAGAGGATCCGTAATATTTGTTGTTTTAGATAATTGCTAAATTTCACTACAATCTGGAGGGATGGAGTAAAGCCAGCTTGGGCCCATGCAGGTAGGAAAGGAACTGTAAGTTTCCCATGGTCCCTAGAATGGTGATCTACCTTCAGTTGCTGGTGATCTATGTTATTTTTTGCAGTATGACAATTCAGTTACAACTACAGTCTTCAATTTACCACGCAACAGTTTCGGTTTTTCCGCCACATGCTTCATTTATTACATCCGGTCATCTGTTTTTACAAAACACATACTCATGAGTGAAACGAAATATTCTGCATCTGACAATACCGACACGACAATCTATAGCCTGTTTTTATATTGTAATAGCCTAAATAGTATATACGTTTAAGTCACATGCTAGTTTTAAATCTCTCACTGTGATATTCTAGTTCTTTTACTGTCCTTCGCAGACAGATTTTAAGATATAAAATTATAAATATTTAAATATGCCCCTTTTAAGTCACGATATGACTGAAATATTGCCAAAGTGACTATAAATTGTAACTTACTCAGTATACTTTATTTGGTCAAAATCATTGTCTTCTCAATCTTTTCTTGAATCTACGAAACTGCTTACGTCTTAAAGTAGAGCAAAAGAAGCTATTGTGTCAATATGTTTCATACATCTGCAAAGGTATTTCACAAAACCAGCGTCACTCATGATGATCACGTGCGCCAGTCATTTGACGCAAAAAGAAGAGAGGTATTTCTGCAAATCATATCCATACGTGGAGAATTCACAACACTTGACCTCGACGCTACCTGAAATAATCAGCTCATCACAGCGTAAACTATGACGTCTGAGAATAGAGCCTTATATGCTGTGTCATTTATATCTGGGACGATCGATAACCTCCTTGTCGACTTTTACCCCTCACTTGGATATTACCCATTCGTAGTGTCCCTTGTTCTGTTGCGTAAAAAGGACTAGCTTAGTCTCCCGTCTCTCTCTCTAAGCGTCAGTTGACTGGAAGTATGTGTAAGATTGTGACAGTCAGATGACATGGCTACATACTGACATACTGAAGCGGTACAAATTGACAAACGAACAAACCAAGAGTCGTGGCTTCGCATGTCTCCAAGACCTGTATGTATGAGTCGAATATACTGTAGTGGACATTAAGATCTATTTATTAATCGGCATCGTGAAGGATCTACTTTGTGTAAACAGTTCAATGGAAGATGTCGGACGCAAAGGTTCATAAGTGACATGCTCGAACTTTGAATGTACTATATGATCGTATGTGTGTCGATCTCTGCGTCCTGGAAGGGAGAGGGATTATGGCATCGGATCTACTTTCTGACGAATTTAATGGTGGAAAGTACTTGTTACTATAATACATCTCTGTCCTGACATGATCACCGTCTGACGAATTTCAGAAATATTTATTCATTCACGTCAATTCCACGCCGAAAGAAATCCCGGTGGTTTACAAAGAAGTTACTAAGATGCTCTTAGTAAATGACTCATACTATAAGAAGATCATAGACAAGATTTTTGAGCTTGTGCAACAGCCTATCTGTGCGTCGTCTGCTACTGAACTCACCAACGCGTCTGCTACAGAACTGTCGCCTCCTACAACAGAGAATGATGACTTTGTTTGTTCGGACATTGGGATTAGTTCTCATTCTAATCCACCGCTGACAGAGCGTGATGTGTTTGTCAACTACGTAGAAGATCAGCAATGTAAAGATACTGGTGTGTATTTTCTGTCCAGCAAGATACAATACAAGCCTCACGATCTCCTGAAATGTGAGTATACGCAATCAATAAACCGATTAATTGATGAACCAACCAACCCATCCGTCGATCTATGGACGAGGGAGTACCACGTCTTAAATTAAGACATTAAAGTCGGTATATATCCAAGGAACATACATATTTCGAAACTCCATATTTCACATCCCTATTACGAAAAAGGATTTACGTACGTTTATCGAATAATAACAGCCAACAAATTGCATAAAATTGCATGGGTGTAGCTTTGTTTAGTCCACTTAACAATGCATTTACTCATATAATGCTGACTATCAAAGGAATTCATACTAATCTCTGCATGTGCTTTACTAAATTTAAAGTTGTATTTACTTTACGTGAATTTTCTATGTCGTTTCTGTGCAATGGAAAAACGTGGTGACAAATGTTAACCTTGTCTAACACCACTTTAGTATATAGTATTCCCGGAAACTATTGAGAAAGTTGTTTCGTCAAATATCTAACATATGTATATAAACTATAGATGTTTTACGGAAATGAATATCTTGAGATATGAGTCTCTTACAGTCGGAGTGTCTTTTCAGTACTTTGTGAGACCTCCTTGCCCTGCAATACACGAGTGAGTGAGTGAGTGAGTGAGTTACTATTTAACGTCACATCGGCAATATTTTAGCCATATCGTGACGAGAACATTTGATAGTGAAATTAAACATATGTATATTATAAAAAACCTGCCGACGAAGGAGAGTAAAACAACTAGAATATCACAGATATGTATGTAAAACTAGTAATTAAACTAAAATATGTTACTTGTAAATCACAATACAATATAAAAACGGGCTAGAGATCGCCAACAACTGAAGGTAGATCACCATACTAGGAACCATGGGGCAATACACGAGTGAATGCGCCTAGGTGCACTATCGATTTAAGTTTGTAGGAAAGCGTGTGACAGCGTATCCCAATGTTTGACCACACCTTTCTTCCTATCCTCAATATTTCTAAGTCCGTTTTGGTTTATTCTATCTTTCATTAGTCCCCACATATTATCAATAGGGTTAGGATCTGGGTTGTAGCTTGGCCAGTCTAAAACTTGAACATTTTCTTCCAACAACCACTGTTTTGTGTAACCCGCAGTGTGTTTTGGGTCGTTTTCATCCTGGATAATCCATTTATCTTCATACAGTGTTCGGGCCGGAGGTGACCATTTAAGATGACAACATATCGTTCCTTTGTCAAATTTCCAGTGATATCCCATCCGACATTATCCCAGTCTTGATTTTCGTGAGCCCAACACCATTTGTATTTTTTGTAAATGTCTTTCTTTTTGTGCATCGTTCATCAATGGTGAGGAAATTCCATGCCTTTTCGCCCAGTTAAGTCTTTGTAATTCTTGTTTAAGGGTTTAATTACATACCCGAGGACTTCCTCTACTAATCATATCATTTCTGATATTCTCAACGCTATTCAATTGTCCCCTACTCACAATCTGACCAAGTCGCCGACAATCCGTAGTACTGAACTTCCTTGGTCTCCCTGTCCCTGTCTTGTGCTCAATCCCAACTCCTGACTGAATATTCTTCAAAGATCTGTATACTGTAGACAGAGGAATGTCATGTCTACCAGCTAATTCCTTTACATTAGTCACATCCCTTACAAAATTATCTAGAACCAGTATTCTTTTTCTTTCGGCTGTCAAATCTGCCGAGTCAACAAAGGAAGGTGTCTGCAACACCAGGGGAGATAACTCTTGATGTAGTAAGGTTCAATCTTAAGCCTACAAGAGTTGCCTCCCATATTGGGTACCTTACTACATAATGTAACACGTATTTTAAAATTCTATTATAAGTATTAAGAAACAAAGAGTTTATCAAACATTTCTGGGAAAACTGTACGAATCTATATAACGAATATCTATTAGCAATAAATATATTACTGTTATCCATTAAGATGTATTTTACCTATTACTATCCCACTTATAAAATGCTAGTTATTACCTGTTGAAAGAGTAGGTTGAAACAAAATCTATATGTACAAGAATTCTGTGTGAAACCAACAAACAAAAAGGAAACACTGTACAAAACACAAACGTGATTTATTATCAATTCCATACAAATTTCAAATGTACTATAAAGGAGTGAGTGAGTTACAAAAAATGCAACGACAATATTGCACCCTTTTCGCTATGAGAACAAGTTACTTATTATTAAATACTTTTCGACAGTAAAACAGTTAGGTTAATCGTGTCTGGACCACGGTGACAGAGCATTTGTTTATGAATCACTATGAAATAGTGATGATAGCACGTTTTCGTTAAAAGGTGAGCGTATCCTTCCCCACCGGGGGCACCCGTCATAAATATATAAAAAGGCTGTCAACTGTTCACCTGAAAAACATTGGGAACGTAATAATACAAAGCAAAATAGATAATTGCATCTGACAACTGTTTTGTCAATGATGCATCAAATTTTGAAATGTCCTGAACATGACTACCCTAAAACTACTTTTAAAAGCTTTACTGAGCCCATTGAATGTTGTAACTTTGATCAAACAACTTCTGCGCAAGAGTTGCATGACGCTCTTTGAAATTGTGATAAAAGATGATGCTCGATTGTACCAGCAAAGACATGCATGGAACGTTGACTGTTAGGAAGATGAAATCATACCTTTTGTCATACAACCTTGTGGAGAATTTTTTGTCACTCTGAATTGTTATGCATAGATCTCAATATGAAACAGTTGAGGCTGTGTCACTTGTCTCTTCAATGTCAAGTCCAGAGGGGTAAATTGCCTATTTGGTGGCTGTTGAACGATATCAGTTAAACGTCTTGGCCAAGTTACCTTGTTATCAATGAGTTCGTGCAGCATTTCACATATTTGTTTCTCAGTAAACTTCAAATGACATTTACTGTCAGTTTTTACAAATGGCCCTGAACCTCTGGAAATAGGTATGTAGGTATATCCTTGTTCATAACGGTTATTTACAAATGCCCAATGCATCAAGGAATTGAGTTTGCAATGTGGGATTGTGTTGTACAACGTTGAAAAATCAAATGTTTTGACTGAACGGAACTCGGTCCGTTTCTGAGATTGAGAATCCACATGTTTTAATGACGCTTATTTTAAATAACACAAACTGGATCAATATGAAAACAATAATTATTCAGAAAATATAAAAAAATAAATTAGGCTATAGACCACAAGCAACAAAATTTTGACCAACTTAATGGTAATCAATGGTCGCTTCAGCTTCCTGCATGCTTCCGAGAAGAATTACGCTGTCATTTTGGACGCGTGTGGTTGTGTGAAATGCTAACCAACATACCGCAAAGGATTTTCAATGGCAATACAAAAGAGAGAGGCAATACACATGCAGTGTTCACCACATATGTGAGCGGTGATTAATACCAATAAAGACAGTTATGATAACATTGGCATAGCCACAACAATGATCAAGTTTCTAACACAGGACTATAAGATGGACATGTAAGGCGACACGTCATGTTCAGTCTGAGCTGGTCTTGAGGTAAAACGAAAAGGGAGGGACACGCATTCAGCATAAATCTGTCTCTTTAACGTTTTGTTATATCAAGGGTTAACACGTTGACTGCCACTACGTGTATACTCGTAGCATCAATGTCTGGCCGAATCTGCCACTACGAGTTATCTCGTAGCTACATCACTGGTATTTTGAAACAGGTTTCGCATGTTGGCAAAACAGGCACAAGAAGCAATCGTCTCTTGGCGGTAACAAAGCAGGCCAGGAGACGTTTGTTTCTTGTACCT